AGAGTATTCCTTTCGGCTCTGAGAAGTCAGACCTCCAGGCTTGGTGGAGGCCTTGGCCCAGGCTCGGCAGAGGACCACGCCCTAGGACCAGGAGGGGGGAAGAAGGGAGTGGAGTGGAGATGACTTTGGGGATGAAAGGGCACCCTGCTGCCTTTACTTCTGGGTCATTGGCTGAGTCCCGCCATTGTTGTTAACTTCTGAAAGCGGTGTGGGACGCCCCCAGGAGGGTAAGCGGCCCGAGTGCTGATGTCAGAGGGCCTGGCTCTGCCCTCATACAACAATCGCCTCTGGAGAGTCGAGTCCCTGATCTTCATCCAAAGCTCAATCTGACTGCCAAACCATAAACACAGAGAGAGAGAAAAGGCTCCATTTGTGCACTCGTTCTTCTGAACAGGGCTCTTTACCAGGGTCACACAGCAAGCTGGCGGGTGGGCTGGGGGAACAATCCTGATGTCCTACTTCCTGAGAATGAGCTGACTTGCCAGGAATGTGCTGCCCTCAACCCCGCTCCCCCCACCTCACCTCACTCAATAGACACTCACCCAGCAGCCATTTATAAAGTGAGGGCTGCCTGTGGCCGCCGTAGCCCAGTAGCAGACCTGCTGCCTTCCTTGGGCACCAGGCTGGGCTTCCCATATAGCAAATGTGATGTCTTCACCAGTTACAAGTGAGTGAACTCTGACGCGAGGCGAACCTCCACCCACCAGAAGGACAACTGCCTTCGTAGAGTTCCAACGGCTGATTTTTATGGAAGTAGATCACTTGGATTCTCCTCTGAGAACTCAAATCAGTACCCTTTCAATTAGCAGCCAAGTGTCTGATAGTCCATGGTTCTTTCAAGAGCTTGCCAATTGTTTCTGGGGGGGTGGGGTGGGGGTGGGTGGTGGTGGTGGTGGTACTTGTAGCAGAGTTTTCTTGACCAGAAAAAGGCCTTTCATTTCACGGAGATCATGGTTAAGAATGAGCATGCCTGAAAGCGTAAAAGTATGGGCACGAACCAATATCAAAGTGTGCAAGACACGAACAGTGTCTTCTGCCCTCCCACAGCCCTCTAGGGAGTGGGCAGGGCAGGAATAACCAGGAAGGGACTCATCAACTCCAAGAGAAAACATGTCTGGAGAAGAGGGAATGGCCACGCCTCCTGCTCAGGTTAGCCCTGGTAGCACTGGCCTACAAACCCCAAGATCAGGAGTTCAAAACCACCAGCTGTTCCACAGAAGAAAGAAGCAGCTCTCTGCTCCAGTAGAAAATCGCTGATTGAAAACCCACAGGAGCAGTTCTACCCTGACTGGCGAAGGCCACTGTGAGTCAGATGGTTTTGGTTTATAACAAAGATCCTTCGATAGAAGCAATTACTTCCACCCCCTTCCCCTTAGTTTTCTCATATGTAAAATTAGTTTCATAATAGTATTCACTCATGGGTCTGTTGTGGACAGTAGATGAGTGGGCATTAGTGAGTGCTCTGGACAGGACTTGACCAGTCGTACATCCTCAACATGTGTTTGCCACTAGAATCGTTCACCTTGGTGGTGCTAGGATACCTATGTTAGGTACAGTCTGTGCGAGCCGACTCAGCCCGTTTTCATCATGACAAAAATGGATTTTAAGCATTTAATAACTCAGTTTTTTCCTAGGAAGATAAATAAATCCACACATAATAAACAAGTATAAATAAAGAAAACTCGTAGTGTCTAGAGCAAAGGAGATAGCTGGCTTCCATCATGGTGCTGAACCATGTAGGGTGCGGTGCCAAGTTATTAGTTTTAATACTATATTTCCAGATAATAACGATATTAGTGTACTAGCCCTCATCTGCTATGTCTTTGGACCTCTATGAATTACTGACATATAACACCTTGTGTACACAGAACATTATATAAAGAGACAAAATGAAATCATTTTGCTCTACCTATTCTATTTATTCATAGTTTTTTTTTTAACCTTTACTCTTTCCTAAAGTTAATTAAAAATTACTACCGAGGTGATCGCCCTTTTCTAAGGAAGGACTTTAGGAAGAGGCTGAAGCTGATAGAGATAAGTTATTTCTACTGTGGAATCCTGAAAATACGTACCATCACCCATCACAGCTGCTTGGCTGATGTTGAAAAATCGTATGCTTAACCAAGGGAATTGCAGCATCAAAGACAGCTGGTACCAGTATCATAAACAATTATTTCAATAAGCACTGCCTGAGCACAAACTACGTTCGTTTACCTGTGAGTTAAAGCAGAGCTAATCGCAGCTGAAATGACTAAAGTGAATTGTAAATGTATATTTGTGTTCTCTCCTTCCCCCACGACTTGTCAGCCACTCGATGAGCGAGACAAGAAATCATGCCGACTTGAGCTAGTCTCCTTCTGTCGAATTGAATGCAACAGGAGCAAGAGCGCCGGATCTCAGGCCTGGAACGTCCATGGGACACAGTGACCAAAACGTGGGGCAAAAATGCGTCTGGAAGCAGACCTTTTCCCTGCTTTATGCATAATAGCAGTCCCATTCACATCTGCCGCTTGGCATTCTGACACCACTGTTCTTTACTTGTCCGCTCCTCAGACTCTGAGGATGGCGCTGACCACGCAGTGCTGTGTTCTGTTGTGTATCGGGGGGCTGTAGGTGGGTACGGACTCCGCAGCAACTCACAACATCCCAACCACCTTTTGTGAGGACAGTTCTCCAGCCCTGACAGGCCTTCAGCTCTTTGCTTTTCCCTGCCATTGGGCTGATTCCGAGTCAGAGCAAGCCTTCAGGGAAGAGGTGACGGCCCCTGTGCCAGTCTTTACAGTCTCGTCTTTCTCTTGCCGAGTGGCTGGTAGTTTTAAATTGCTGACCTCGCAGTAAG